GCAGGCAAATCTTGGGTTTATTGTGGTGGTGCACACAACCATCTGTGTATTCAAGATGTTTCAATAGGGCTAGGATACACGGTCCAACTAAGTTAGAATTAGCAAATGAATGAAAGGAGTGAATTCACGCTAAAGTAAGCAGGTATGACAAATTCATTGAGCTGTATTTGAAATGCTGCCATGTTTGGTGACTAGAACCTCGCCTGTGACGGGAATAGAGTTTGGATTAAAAAAAGAAGAAGAAGAAAAAAGGGAAAGAGCAAGAGACGTAGTCTGAGTGTGTTTGCTAACCAGTAAACAGGCACTATTTGTTTAGCCTAATCTGAAAGTTTTTTCCCTTGATGGGAGAAAATGAGCAGATTATGTGTCCTCATGTGTGTGTGAGAGACTATGTATGTATGTCAAGCATAGCCTTGATCTATGCAGAGCTCTAATGCAGCGCAAACTTAATCTATCAGCCCACCGTTACACATATACACACACACACGCACGCAAATATACCGCCAGGTGGTGGAAATCCCCGTCACAGCAGCAGCTCTCTCAGGAGAGTAAACCCGGCCGGGTCCAATAGTCTTTTCAAAGCCTTTTATCGAGCAGTTTACAAGTTATGAATGAATATGTTTTATTTGGGGAAACACAGTATTGACAACCACCTATCAATAGTAATGTGACTATTGTCAAGGGTCTGTCAATATTAATGTAATTATGATGTAGAGGGATCAGAGGGATGCTGGAGTTGGGGGCCAAGTAACATCTCCTGCCCACTGCCATATCAATAGCTGGGATTGCTATTGACAGCTTCCCTTCAGACTTGCAGCACTTGCCAAATATATAACAAGCAGACACTTCAGTCAATGCCGGGCTGCCTATAAAAATTAAGCATTTGAATTTACAGGGCTTTTACCGCGGACAGCTGGAAATCCATGTTCCTTATGTAATAGTCAAAAGTCACAGTCAATGCCAGTGTTTACAGAGTAATGACACGGTGTGGGTGAGAGGACAGACAGCGCAGCATTTGCACGCACAAGGAAAAAATATACAAGAATATGAGCAAAGAGACTCCTTCCATGATGTATTCACACACACACACACACACCCACACACACACAATGATATATTGACTTTATAATTCTCTTGTGGGTCAGCCATCCAACTAACTATGAGACTAAATGCCCTCTTTTGGAGAGTTGATAACTGACAACCAAGAGAGTCAGAAGGCAAGTTAGAAGAGGTCGTTGAAAAAAAACAACAGAAAAAATAAAAATTTAAAAAAAATCACCTGATATTTCTGAGGTCTTGCTGTTCTATCAGAGCAGTGAAAAATGTTTTCAAAACATTTTCCGGGGTATGTTAAAGGGTATTTTGATTCAGGTCATATGAGCGTTTATTTTATTTTTTCCCTTCCCCTTGTTTCCATAGCTTGTGCATCTTGTTCAGACAAAGATAGCGCACTGACTCAAGGCTGACTGCCATAGCTTACAGACAACCACAACAACAACAACAACAACAATATCCAATCTAACACGGAACACAGTGCAACACCGCTTCAAGGCAAAAGGGGCCATGACCAGTGTGAGGAAGGAGAGATGAGGCAACAAAAGCATACAGCGCATCAGTCTGAAGCCTTGCAGCTGCACTGGGTCCTCTGAAAACTAGACAATGGGCTGTAATGACAGCTACCCAACGAAAAAAAAGACGGATAGGCAAAGACACAGACAAAGATGGATACGTCAGACAAAGCGTCATGAAACCGCCAACTGGGAACTGTGAGCTAATGTCTACTGATATAGTGAAAGAAAAAAAAAAAACTTGGGGAAACGATAGCCAAAGAGGGAAAATAAAGCGTGGGTAGGTGGGCAGATAAGCTCAAACCTCTCCCTAGGAGCTGACCTTGAGACAGACACAATCATGGAGGAGGGAACATTTCTGAAGCATACGTGGTTCAGCCCTACTGAGGTGTGGGCATCCAGGGAATACCCTATAGACAGAGGAAGGCCTCACTTTCTTCTTGACCTTGGCTTTGGTGTCTAGGGAGGTGTGAGACTGTTTAGGACAAGGGGACCAAAGGCTGTGGGGGGGATGCTGGGAAGGTGAACGTCTCTTGGGGATTGCACTTTGCTTTTTCTGTGCTCATTGCACACCGGTTGGAAAATGCACAGCTAGAAGTCTGGATGTAGCCCCTCGTGTGGTGTAGCGCTGAGATTCCTAACCACTTAGCTGTGGTTGTTAGTATAATGTATTTGCTGAAATAATGCATAAATGTTCACTTGGCTTTCTATGATGCTTGTAGCAAGAAATAGGCTATGCATTGGCAAAGCATGCTGGATTACAACTTTACATTTTATTCTCTCGCTCATGTAAATTAATTTGTGTAAAAGCTCTGGTGGATAAAACCTATTTCTCTGAGCGCTCCAGTCAGTCAGTCCCCCCCCCTTCTCGTTCCCGCTCCCTCGCTTTATTGCCCTTCTTTCGCCAGAAACAAGTGCGGGGCCTATTAGCCGAGGCTTGCTAATGTCCTCACTATGAAAACGGATGAGAATGTCAGATTTAGAACTTTTAAGAGAGTGATGTCATACAGCAGACCACAGGCATTACGGGGACACTAAGATTACCCAGGCGGTAACCAGACTAATTGTTATGAGTCTGTTTCATGAAAAATGAATGTGTGCAGATGCACAGAGGGGTCTTAGGGCTGTGTGTGCGTCACACACTAATGCTTTATCAAGGCTCTCCTCTTTCTCTAATCACCCAAAACTCCAAGCCATTGGGGTAGGAGCCAAGTTAATGCCTGAATACAAAAAAAAAGGAGAGGAAAAAAAATAAAATAAAAAATTACACATCAGTTAGAACACCACATCTGACACACAAAAAATGTGCTCCGCTTAATCTGGTTTGCTCAGAAGGTGAATTATTTAAGAGAATTAATTGATTTCATGAGTACAAGGTTGAGTATGCTAAGGCTGTATGAGTAATAAGTTCAAGGGTTTGCAGAAAAACAACTTAAAAAGTCATGAAACATTTAGAGCACAGAGAGAGGCACAATGAATGCGAAAAAAAAAAAAAAAGCAGAATGGCTAATAAATGAGAGAACCAAAGTTGTGTCTTTCAGAGGAGTCAATGAGAGAGCAACTCATGCAAATAAAAAGTGTTATCCTCAGGAATATTTGATCTGCACATTTCTTGACGTCTCTTTATGCATGAAAAAACACAGACAATAAAAGAGTAAACATTTTAGCTTTTTAAAAAAACAAAAAGGGAAAAAAATGTGATGGTTAACTGAGGACAAGCCAATAAAATCTACAGGAATGCGAGGGCTACTGCAGGATGTGTTTGTCAATCAAACTCATGGTGCTGGGGCTACATGTAAGAGTTCATTCGGCATGTCTAATTCAAAGTGTGATTGGTTGATTTCCTTCAAAAGTAACACAAAATACCTTCTAGTAATTTACACATTATATATTATTATCAGACAACTAAACATGAAATATAGACTATATTATAGTTAGATTAGCATGCTGGAGCTCCAGCAACACATATGTAAAAAATGGAAATCTTTGTGCCTTCCAGTTCCTTTTAGTCTATTTGACCTTGTAAAATTTAGATTGAACAGTAATGCTAATCTTTTATTACTTTAAATTGCAAATATGAACATTCTTTTTCCAAAATTCATTAAAAGGATTGACACTATACATTGTAGCTTTTAGACTGTGGAATAAATTAATGTTGGATTGATTTTTTCCCCCCTCCAAATATGCACTGATAATTATAGTGCCTTTAAGACTTGCCTTCATCTGGAAACTGTATAAAATAACCTTATGACCCCAGAGTGAGATCACAGCCTAGTTTAACTTGTGCGACTGCCTTAAAAAACACACTCATCAAAGTAAGTGTTTGGCTCCAGAGGCACACACACCACATCACACCACACCACAATCTCATGCAATCAGCCCGTCCACATTCTCCTCATAATAGCGTTGTCTGCTTAATTTTTTTTAAACATTTTTTTAAGCTTGAGCCCATCAGTCTTTAACAACAACAACAAAACCCAAATCTGCTCCATTTTGATAATAAGGCAAGAGCATTATGTGATAATCACAGGAGGGATTAGGTTTTGGCAGAGAGTGTGAGAGCCATACAGTCAAAGCCACTGGAAAAGAGAGATATAACCAAGAGACAGATAAGAGTAGAGCAGTGATGATTGGGATGAGAGAAATGAAGTGAGTAGTCTCCTGAAAATCAATAAGATCAACTTTGCCTTGAATCTCAATGTGGAAGGTTTTGATCTCTGGCACTGATTATTTAGGGGAATAATGGAATTATGTGCGGAGTTGCACAACATACTCTTGAAGGTGCACACAGTCACAAGGTTACCATCCAAAGTTTCAGCTGGTATACACACCTGAACCAGACTCCCGATGAATACTAATTCAAAAACGGCTGGCTGATTGAACACTATGCAGTGGTCACTATACTCATCAACAGCCATCAACAATCGATACGATTTTAAATGAAAGCGTGCAGGAAAAGAGGGGGGACAAGCAAGCGGCTAACACAGACAAAATACTGATACAGCAGCGAGGAGCTGATAACATGTGACGACGAGCCTTAACAGCTCGGGGAAAAAAGCAGACATGCCGCTATTGAGCTTCATGTGGGCATAGAAGAAAATAATGCAGGCTTATGTTTTTTCAGCAGGGTAATGAAGTCATATATTCATATATTTACCCATCGCTTCTCGGGGTCGAACTCAATGTAACCCAGTCTTCCCTGAAATGTCAACAGCACTTGTATTTCCGGGTTGTACATCGTTATCCCGCCTCCTAAAGAAAACTCACCAGTAGCGGGTGTGTACGTCACGTTTTAGAAACCCGTGATCAAAATGGGCCAATCGCACAGCGTAGCGCCAAAGCACTTGTTAAAACCTGCATACCGTCTGGGGAAAAATAATTCAAACTCCTCAGTTGTAGCAACGATACATAGCGACCAACTTGTTAAGAAAAGCCACGGCAATTATTTACTCAGTCTTAAATGTCAAGTTCATTCAAAGTGCCGGGATCTTGATTTGATTTGTTTTTTCCAGGTTACCGTGTACTTGCCTAAACTATAAGATTTTACCAAACCGAGATTATGACTGTTTTTAGCTAGCTTTTTGCAAGCCTTTATGCAGTTGACTTAGGAAATAGGTTGCAGGAACTTCTTGGAGCAATGCGTGCAGCTTGCGCACAGCCAAGGAAAAGCTCAACATTGTCGGAAACGCTTAGTCACGCTTCTCACCTGTCTTCTTGCTCAGGTGAAAAAGAGCTCATAGTAGCCAATCAGAGTCCCGAAACAGAGCTAAACATTATTAAAGAACTACTAAACGAGTTCAGAGGGCTTCACGAGCTGAAGTTAAGATGCTTGGAGGAGGACACCAGTAGAAGGGGAGAACTACCACAGGTGAGTAGTTGTTGTGCCACATGTGAAATGCACGTTGTGGGTAGCGTGGCCGAGCGGTCTAAGGCGCTGGATTTAGGCTCCAGTCTCTCTGGAGGCGTGGGTTCGAATCCCACCGCTGCCATTATTGTTAGTCCTGGCGTAACATCCGGTTTACGGTAACTAAAGGACAAAGTTAAGAAGTGTAGCATCAGATTTCTTGAGAGAAATAATAAATCCAGACTTTCTGTTCGCACTTTATACAGCTACGTTGAAACACACGAATCCAACCCATTTATTTAAAATAAAGAGCTCCTTAATAGTATCGTGTTTTTTCCTATTAACATTGGAAACAAATGCTAGTCGTCTTAATGACGATTCTGCACACGCCCTTCCAGTAGTCTGGACCCTGGATTGTGAAAGATTGTTTTTATGGGTTCAGACAATTGCATAAAGTACGGGTTAGCAGACACAGTCTCTACAGCATGTTTAGATTTAGGCTAACATCTATTGTCATTAGGCTATAATCCATCCATTACAAATCATACAGCATCCTGTCCACCTTGACTCTAACATCAGAAGATGACCTCTGTCTTGTCAGACAAATGACAGGAGGAAGCGCAGCGGTGCTTTCATAAAGCCGCAGCACTTGTAACAGGTGGCAAATTGCATTATGTTTCCATCTGAGCGGCAGAGATCAGGAACACAGAGCCACACTCATATTTAAAAAAGAGAGGTTTCTAATCATCGGGATCGTCATGTAACATCTTTTAGCAACAGAATGTAGCTCGTGTGAGCTGGACTGTGCATCAAAGCAAAAATAACAAGGTTTCAGAATAGGTTATGGTCAGCCGGCCCCAGTCAAGGGCCAGCTTAACAAGGTTATGATGTTCAGAACCCAGGAGCTCCCAAGTCCTAAAGGTTGATGGGGACACTTAATCATAAAGCGTGTCCGCTGAAAATACAACATCCATTATTGCATGAACCCATTGTAGGTTTATGATGTTTCTTAAAATGTTGAAATGTTTGAGCAACCTGCCAGTTCAAGAATTCATTTTTTTTCTTATGCTTTAGGGCACTTATCATAGCTAGCTTTTCCAAAAGTGAAAAGTAAGTAAGAAACAACAACAACAAACAAACAATGTCAACCCTAGAATGTTACCGTACTGTCACATTTGCCATCTTTGTAAAGTTACTTTCCCTGAAGCTAAACATCAGTATAATGTTATGCATCAGGGGACAGTATAAACTGCTTATTTACTTTTGGCTGTAGGGGACAGATGTTTTTCAGCACAGATGTACAGGTGGTCCTCTAAGGCAATATACTTCTTAGGTTTGTGGCACTTCCTTTTATCGGAGGGACAATCATTGTATGTGTAGGGTATCTGGAAAACTGCAAAAGCTCCTTAAGCTAAGTGCACAGGCTTCTTTTTTTTTTTAACCTGGAATAAGAAAATAAAGAATACGGTTAGGTTATCAGTTTTTGTAAGTAATAAAATCTGAACATTGAAATGCCTTCTTGAGTCTTCCCTACACTTTGAGTGCATGATCACTAAGTATTCCTTTTCCTGTGATAGAGGGCAGAGGTCATCTATTGTGAATCTTAGGTGGGCTTCTGTGTGAAAGCCACAAGGATCTGGCCTCTTTGTCTGGCGTATTCAGCATTATATAAAGGTTTTGGAAAATGAAAAAGAAAAAAAAAGTTTTAAATGTCACAACCAGCTCAGTGAATAAAATATGTCAAGGATTTAGATACTCAAACAGTGCCATAATAACAATAAGGCTTACTGACTTAATGTAAGTAGAATCAAAATAGTCACTGGTGGCTTTTGACGATCTCTCTGTTTCTTATTCTCTTTTATAAACTGTTGTATTTTGGCTCGTTCTTCGACTGTTTTATATGTCTCGGGTACTTGTTGGGATAGAATGAGAGCCTGTGGACATCTCACCACCAACATGTTTTGCACTTGTTGTCTTTAGATGTATTTTCTTCAGTTTGTCAGAAAGTTACAGAGACCCCCAACCTGCCCGGCCATACAATTGATCATCATTTAATGTGTTTCAATGCTAAATCAGATTCTTCATCTGCTCTAAAGACGGGTAAGATGCAACTAAATAAGAAACACATTATTATTTTGTGTTTGCCTGGATCTCTTGCCTTTCCTGTGAGGTGTCACTGGGGATATAGTCCCTGTTTTAACACCAAGAAGGAGTACTACATTTATAAGTGACATGCTGGATTGAGGGGATATATGTTGCTTAACTGCACTGTGGTTAGTGTTTGTGCACACTCCCATATTGGGATTCATCATTTTGACTTTTAATGAACTTTTTATTATTGGATATTTTAATAATAATCTTACTCTGCCCTGTTTATGGCCACCAACTCAGGCCAGCCACTCACTAATCTGTTACAGTATTCACATTGTCCCAGAGAGTCTCTAGGCCTGTATGACCGGGGCCTAACAATTACCATAATCTGTACTCAGCAACTAATTAAACATATAAACTGTCAGCTTATTAAACCACAATAATTAACCACTATCTTATCCTGTTGTACTGTTGCTCTTACAGAAGAAAGTGGACTTCCTGCAGTCTTACGTGAATGACCTCACAGACCACATCCAGGTGCTTGTTCAGACCATTGAGGATTTGCAAAGGGGAGCTGGACAGAACCATGATCGTGTTTTGGCTGTAAGATTTTATAAATGGCTTCATCTTGACACAGATGTAACTGCGCCCAGTGCTTTTTTTTTCCTGGCTCAGAATGGGCTTACAAGAGGTGACTAGCCATGGCAGTAAGCATGACTGATCTGCGTACTCTGAAGGCAAAGTTACCTTGTTACCTTATTTGACAAAAATCGATGCATTTTTCTCTTATTTCTGTTCATTCGATCAACAAAAATGCTATTATGCCTGACTAAAAAAGACCAAAAACCTCTCAGAAAATAATTTTATTACATGATCAAGGGTTGGAGGGCTCTTTTTGTGGCTGACTTAAACCTCCTCTGGTTGCCAAAAATTCCTCTGCACATGAAAAAGCCTCTTGTCTTTGTTTTTAATATATATCTTCTGTAATTTTAGCGATTTTACAGTGTTCTTTTCTTCCTTAATGTGAATTAGAATCTATCCTTGAGACAGATAATGAACTATTGCTTTTGGGTCTTTGGAAAAACTGCCTAAAAAAGGAAAACTTTATTATAGGAGGAACTAACAACATCACCACCACTTGATGTAGTGACCTTAAGTCATTGTTCCATTTTAGTTACGGCCAGGCTTCTATCAATATTCTCTCCTCTGAGTGGATTTTACACACAGAAAAGTAATTATGGCTTATTATACATCAAAGTACTTATCTGCCATTATGTAGAAGGTCAGAGGGCTAGCTTTGTGTGCTCTCTACACCGTTACTACAAAGGTCACGCTAACATAATGCTTTGCATTTTTGAGCATTCAAAGCTGCCCAATTTTAACTTTCATCATTTTAAAACTTAATTCTCTTCACTGACATTGCTTAAGCAACACAAATACCGGCATCTCTGCCGTTTTTCTTCCATAGCACTTTCTCAGATTCCTTTATTGAATAAGTTCTACAATATATGTCTTTCTTGCATATTATAGCACAATACATGCCTACAGGATAGTTTGAAAAGCAAAGACATTTGTTAATTTTCACATTTATTATCAGTAATGGAATTTTAGGAACTTTACTAATTTATTTTTCCATTTCTCAAGCTGATTAAAAACATACAGCTTAAAGGGAAAAGGTGAAGAACAATTTGTAAAATCTATTAAAGTGACATTCACTTAGTTGCTGAGAGTCCTTCAGTCCATCCAGTCATAGTTTTGCTATTGTTTGTGATAACAGCAGCTTCGTTTGGCAGCAAAAGAGACAGGCTGTGAGGGAACATAATAGTTTGTTGCCGCTATCGACCCATCTTCTGAGCCTTTGAATCTCCATTTTCACCCGTCTTACACGATGCTCTCACTGTCTGTTTATGCTACTTTGTATGTTTTCAGGGTCTACATCAGTAAACAAATACAAACAAATGGAGCGTCTCACTCAACAGTCTATTAGGATAGTCAGGGGACAGGATAGTCAGTGTGTTTCTGCTCTGATGTCCATAATGCGAAATCCAATCAAATGAGGAGCATTTAGAGCTACTTATGGACCGTTCCACAATGTAAACGATGCAATGAGCTCTGTAATAGGAGCTTGGCTAACGTCTGATTGAATCGTAGTGTATGGTCTTGTTGATACACAATAGGGCTGAACTCTAATGGACACTAAACAGAGTTTGTTTTGTGGCCATAATATCATAAAATTCAAGGATTGTATTCTGGGTTCTAGACTGTTACAATTAGCCTTTGGTCTGTGCCATCTACAGACAGATGGACATGTCCCTTGCATGCAATACAAACTTGTACTGTACTTGAACACCTGTTTTAACTGAAGGGGTTATAGGACAACCCAGGATTTTAGATAAAGAAGAAATAGTCTTTTTTTTAATGTTTTGAACCTTACTTAAACAAGTTAAACTGTACTAGGAAAACATCTGCAGTGACAGACATGTCTTTAATTTGAGACATGTATTTGTTAGTAAGTACAGATCAGAAGAGGTAAATTGGAATCAGCTGGCATCCACTCAGCTCGTCATGACAAAATTTGAACACCGTCGCCCCCAAAATGTTCCTACAATCATAGATAAAAAAAAACACCCACATGATAGGACAAACAGTTCAATAGCCTGCATTGGAACCCCTGCAGTCTTCTTTTGCGGTTGCCTAAACTGGAAGTCTCCCATCGGCCATGCTTGTTAATCTTTATAAACGGTGGTTGACAAAGGATTTTCTTTGTGTTATTTGTATCGGAGGAGAGAGCAAAACCAGTTACAACAAGTGATGACAACAAATTTGCTCACTGAATGCCAGCAATGTCTCCAGCTGTGATGAGGCTCCAATTTTTTGTGTGTGTGTGTGTGTGTGTGTGTGTTTCACAAAGCGACTATTTATGACATTCCCATAAACCACAGAACAGGGGCTATTAAAATCTTAAAGCCTGGGAACCAAATGATAAAATTGGTCTCATGACTTAATTTTTGCTAATGAGAGCACAATTTTTCTTGTCATGTGGAGCTTTCTTCATAGCAGGACTCTCAAGGCCCAGTTTTCTTCCTGGGTTGTAGTTACATGTAAATGAAACATGTAAGTATGCAGGCTACAGCGCATATCAGCCCTGCATTAAGGATGACCACAACTTTAGAGTTCTGACATCTGGTCTACTTGAAAATACATACATACCGGTGCATTAAGACTATCTGTCAAAAATATGTTGAAGAAAATGATTGTAATAGAAGTACTGATGTAGCGTGCTTCCTAACTGATTAAGCTGTGGTTAGCTTGTATATGATTCATGCTGCGAACTTGGGGCAGTAGAAGCGTTTCAAAGAACACCTGTCCAACCCTACATAGCAGTGACTGCTGAAACCTAATTCAGGTTAGCATTAAAAACAGTCTATGATCTCTGTGACCTTTATCAACCCCCCCAAACTCCACTTCCCCCAACAAATACATGCACACATGCACGCACCTCACACACGCTTCAGCATTCGCGTTTGTGGCAGGTGCTCTGAGGGAACAAGGCAGTGAAAGTGAGAAAGACAGAGCAGGGGAGGTCACGGGGGTCACGGTGGTTGACTATGCTAATGCTGTTGTTAATGACTTTGCTGTGAGTGATAATTTATTGTCTTCATTACCATATTAACTCCATAGCACCCCTCCACACCCAAGAGCCCTAAGTCTCTCTTTCTCTCTGTCTATGCAGTAATGGATGCCCCTGTTTGATCCTTGGAATAATGAACTAATTAGCTTAATTAAAATCAATATAGGTGCCAATACCAGGTTAGACCTTTCAGGGACGCCATCTCTATCTGCAGGAGAAGGGGTTTTCAGAAAGAGAGGGTGAAACAGGATGGATGGCAGGGGGTAGAGGGGCCACACATAATAAATAAAGAGATGATGATGAGGAGGACTGACAGGTAGACAGATACACAGTATAAGGCCATATGCACACTACATCAATGCTGTTATGTTTACACCTGTAGACCTACACTTCTTTGGTATTTTAGGACCCATAAAACAGATCCGCAATGACCCAGTTTTAGTTTACAGATGGAGTTTTGGAAACAGCGATGTCAACGCCCATGTTTGCAGCCTGCAGTCACCGTGTGTCCATCCCTTGTGTCATGCACAAAGCACACAATCCTTGCCCATAAGAAGACAAAGACTTCAGCTTTAACTAGAAGTGTTAAATTAAACTTGGATAACAAATTATATGCGTCTGTTTGGTCAAGGAATATGCGTTTATTTAAGCGATTTTCAAATGGTGTTATCAACTTTGCCAGTGTGGATGTAGTTAAAAGGAAGAAGAATGAAAAACATTGAATTTGAATGAGAATGAGTGACAGGTTTGAAAAGGTAAATTGTAAAAAAAAAAAAATGCATGCAAGAAGGGGCAGAAAATATCGGAGGAGTGGAGGGAGCCACAGAGAAGGGGGACTAAACGAGAGAGAGAAGGCGAAAGAGGTTCCTAATGCTGATTTATGAGTGCTTGACGGTCGTTAGCTGGAATAAATGGCTTGTAGGAGTGGCTGCAGCATTACTCCCTGTACAGGATACTAAGTGCATTGTAAGGTCAGCCATAAGGCCAAACTTACATATGTAGTGCTCTGCCCTTGTAAACCTTTGTTAATATATCAGCCACAGGATGGAACTGTAACAAGTCCGTCTGATGCAGGGAGACGACAGTGGCTTTCTGAACTGTGTAGAAATGATTCTACTTGGGTTTTACTTTAAGAGCAACCGGTAAGTTTAGTCAACGCAACTTTCATGGTTGGGCAAGCCAAAATTAAAATCAGCAACTTTTTGTATGAATGTGATTTGCTACAGTTTAGTCTTCTTCCATTGGGCAGAGGGAAGGTTTACAACAGTGCCACTTCACTAATTAGGAATAAAGCTTACTCTCCCAGTCTTTTTGCAACAAATTGGCAAAATAGGACATTTTATATTTGAAAGATTATAGAATTGAAGGCAAAATCTTATAAAGGGACGTCTCGGCACATACAGTATATTGGATAGGCTCTGCCAGTACGTTTGATGCCACACTGTATCTCGTCAATAACATGTTCAGTAAGGCAGCAGACATGTGCTTTTGCCTGTATGCTGTCGTTGCATCATTTGAATTAGGCTCAAGCAAAATTAAAGTAAACTTTTTCTTTCTTTTTTTTTGTCTACGCTCATTCTGAACATGCAGGTCGTGACGTAGCAGAACTAGATGCTGGCGTGCTCCTTCCAGTCACAATTGGCTTGAGTTGCTTGATTCTATTTTATTCAGCCTTCGCTTTGTGTTGTGATCTGGTGACTCACGAGCACACGTTCCCGCTTTGCTTGTTTCTTGTCTTTTTTCTCCTCTGTTGCTTTTAGTTGACAAAGCTCGGGAGAAAATTGATGACTATTTTCAGACAGAAAAGGAAACAAGAAAGGGGAAGTGTGTGTGTGTTGGGGGGAGGGGGGGAGTATGTTAGGGGCAAATGATTGAGACAGGAGGGGACAAGAGACTGTGATGAGGTTTGAGGCTGAAAACAAAGAAAAAGAAATGAAGGAAAATTGAGGCAAAAAGAGGAAGAGTGACAGTGGAGAAGAAGGAAATCAGTCTGGGAATGACTGTTGCTATTTTGCGCTTTCCTTGTATTTCTTACAGTAGAAGTCCTACTGTTGACCATTTTTGGTACTTACCAGCCATACTGCAACTACAAGTGCAATCTCTTTACATCGTATCTAATACAATTTTTCCCTGTGCATAACAGGGAAAGGACCTGTAGTGATGAAGATAAAATAAATAAAGATAAAAAAAAAAAAATAGGACGTTTGCCTTCCTAATAAGAAATTGTGACACAACATTTGAAGTTAGTTTTGCTTGTTATGCCGAGGACACCGTGCAGAAGAATATATTGTATAAGTCCTCTCTGTGTTTTTAATAACTGCCCAAGGAAGCTAATTGATGTGATGCAACATCTGTGTAATGTGCTCTCTTTTTCTTTCCTGTTTGCCTCTTTTTCTCTCACTCCCCGTCTCTGATGATTTTCACCAATACTTTAAAAGTATTTTTCCTCGCCACTCCTTTATGACATTGCTATATTATACATACAGTGGGGCAAAAAAGTATTTAGTCAGCCACCGATTGTGCAAGTTCCCCCACTTAAAATGATGACAGAGGTCAGTAATTTGCACCAGAGGTACACGTCAACTGTGAGAGACAGAATGTGAAAAAAAAATCCATGAATTCACATGGTAGGATTTGTAAAGAATTTATTCGTAAATCAGGGTGGAAAATAAGTATTTGGTCACCTCAAACAAGGAAAATCTCTGGCTCTCACAGACCTGTAACGTCTTCTGTAAGAAGCTTTTCTGTCCCCCACTCGTTACCTGTATGAATGGCACCTGTTTGAACTCATCATCTGTATAAAAGACACCTGTCCACAGCCTCAAACAGTCAGACTCCAAACTCCGCCATGGCCAAGACCAAAGAGCTCTCGAAGGACACCAGGAAAAGCATTGTAGACCTGCACCAGACTGGGAAGAGTGAATCTACAATAGGCAAGCAGCTTGGTGTGAAGAAATCAACTGTGGGAGCAATCATCAGAAAATGGAAGACATACAAGACCACTGATAATCTCCCACGATCTGGGGCTCCACGCAAGATCTCATCCCGTGGGGTCAAAATGATCATGAGAACGGTGAGCAAAGATCCCAGAACCACACGGGGGGACCTGGTGAATGACCTGCAGAGAGCTGGGACCAAAGTAACAAAGGTCACCATCAGTAACACACTACAACGGCAGGGAATCAAATCCCGCAGTGCCAGACGTGTTCCGCTGCTGAAGCCAGTGCATGTCCAGGCCCGTCTGAAGTTTGCCAGAGAGCACATGGATGATACAGCAGAGGATTGGGAGAATGTCATGTGGTCAGATGAAACCAAAGTAGAACTTTTTGGTATAAACTCAACTCGTCGTGTTTGGAGGACGAAGAATACTGAGTTGCATCCCAAGAACACCATACCTACTGTGAAGCATGGGGGTGGAAACATCATGCTATGGGGCTGTTTTTCTGCCAAGGGGACAGGACGACTGATCCGTGTTAAGGACAGAATAAATGGGGCCATGTATCGTGAGATTTTGAGCCAAAACCTCCTTCCATCAGTGAGAACTTTGAAGATGAAACGAGGCTGGGTCTTCCAACATGACAATGATCCAAAACACACCGCCCGGGCAACAAAGGAGTGGCTCCGTAAGAAGCATTTGAAAGTCCTGGAGTGGCCTAGCCAGTCTCCAGACCTCAACCCCATAGAAAATCTGTGGCGGGAGTTGAAAGTCCGTGTTGCTCGGCGACAGCCCCAAAACATCACTGCTCTCGAGAAGATCTGCATGGAGGAATGGGCCAAAATACCAGCTACTGTGTGTGCAAACCTGGTAAAGACCTATAGTAAACGTTTGACCTCTGTTATTGCCAACAAAGGTTATGTTACAAAGTATTGAGTTGTATTTTTGTTATTGACCAAATACTTATTTTCCACCCTGATTTACGAATAAATTCTTTACAAATCCTACCATGTGGATTCATGGATTTTTTTTTCACATTCTGTCTCTCACAGTTGACGTGTACCTCTGGTGCAAATTACTGACCTCTGTCATCATTTTAAGTGGGAGAACTTGCACAATCGGTGGCTGACTAAATACTTTTTTGCCCCACTGTAAAACAGCCAGCCAGCCAGACAGACACACACATATATACCTACTGCTAACAAATGAGTTTACTGTGGTCATAACCTTCACAGGGCTCATTATCATAGATTGCAGGCCTTTTCATAAAGCTGAGACCACAGGTGACGGATTACTAACGATGGACACACACACACACACACACACACACACACACACACACACACACACACACACACACACACACACACACACACACCGTGATCTGTAATGAGACCTTATTCCGGACACCCAGCCCAGCTGCCTGTAAATTTCAGCCGTCACTCTGCCATACATACTTAATCAGCTAATGTTGTTTTATTTCTTATTATTAATTTCCTCCTGTTTCTGATTTATCTAAAGCCCCCTGCATCGCACCAATATTTTGTCTCCTTTACAGTTCAGAGAGGCAGAGAAAAGGAGAAAGCCGCACGCTTATTCATGTACTTAGGGGATTGCATCAGTAATGAATTGACTGGCTTTTTAGGCATACATAACACAGCCTACTACTCACCTTAATAATGTAAGCAGGTCGTAACTCCTGCTAACCCAAGGGTATATATAAGGCCTGCACGCACAGTCGCACACACTCCTAAACACACATAGCCTACCTATATTAGCCGCTGACCTCTACGTTTTCCAGGTCCTCTCATTGTCACATTGCAGGTGCATTAGAATATGAATATTTTATGATCGTGTGTGGCTTTTGTGTGTGTGTGTGTGTGTTTAAATGTATATTTTTATAGATGTGGTTTGGTAAACAGATTGATTACTTAGAGGACGGACAGCTTGGCTTTTTATATTACTTTCTTATAGACCAGTAATGCTATGCTGGTATTATACAACATAATATTCAAACGTGCCATCACACAGGAGGAGTCCCCATACATAAATACTGCCAGCAGGTTAAATTGCACTAATATGTGAGTGAACACCTTTTCTGTAATCATCATTCACCAATCAATGTCCTTAATTTAAAGTTTTCTTCAAGTTCATAGTAAAGTGGTGGCAAAAATGGAAGATCCAGACTCTGTGTGTTATTTAATGATTAGTCTCCTTTAAAACAGCAAAGGCGACCTGTATAATTGTCTTTTACCATTAGGCCTTAAATACTACACATTAAATGAACTGAATCTTATCTTTACACATGCTTCAGATCCTTTTTTTAGATGGTTTAACTTGATATTTTATGCACTCCATATGTGCTCTACTGCTCCATATCTTATCTCGCATGCACACAAACGCATGGTTATACACATAAACACACTTAACATATGCATAATTGAAAAACACACATGCACGCACACACTCATGGCCAAAAGCAAACGAACAGACACACATTAAGTCACACACGGGGGATATGTGTTGACCTGTGAGTCATTGCTGTCAGCATTGATTTCCTTTTCCCGGAGTGACCCCTGTCACCACGGCGATAGAGTGGCCGATATTTTACCAGCGGTGCCGGGCCTCTCTGTTTCCGTGGAGCCTCCTGCCGCTCTCTCCTTCTCTGGCAGTCTTTTTCTTTGCTCTTTTCAGCTGTTGCTTATTGCCCTTGTTAATTTGGCCCTGTCCTGTCTATTTCTTCCCTCTTTTTAATAGTCTGGCCTAATAAAAAACGCTGGACAATCAGAACTATTTACTTTTCTTTTGAACTCAGTTAATTCCTTTGCCCCCCTTCTATGCTGTTCTCTTTTTTGCACAGTGTGAATTGACCTCACAATAACTGTGCTGACACATTTTTCACTCGTCCTTACAAATTTTCATTTGAAAAAAAAAAAGACATGCAGACAGGATAATGGCAAGGGGTATTTTGAATTGAAACTATATCTGAGAATTGTGTGTCTGTCTGTGTTTGTGCATAAGCTTTTGTCTGCATATGCTCTGTCTTGCTTTCTCTGTCCTCCTTTCAATGCACTTGACTTCCCACACTACTGTATTGCTTTAAAGATGTTCTTTAAAAAAAAAATCTCTCAGGAGGGAAGTCGAATTATTAAATCAGTTCTATCTCCATTTTAATCTTGGATTCTGGGTTTGAAAATGAGGAATGATTGTTTTCCTTCAATTTTATTTATGCAGTTGCTGTATATTAATGTCTTCTTTCCTCATGATAATATTATCATGCTGCTGCGGTCAACAAGATGCAAATTCTTAGCAATTAGTCAGGGGTGACACACTTCACACCTTTACCCCTGGGCGCTGTCGGACTTCATCACGGTTTACACCCGAGAAAATCAATTTCTACAAAACTATTTTCCTTTATTTAGCAGTGTATATCTAATAAACAGAAATTTAGGTTGTACTGAAGTGAATATTGAACTATTTGGATATGTTAGAGTTCAGAGAGAACGTATTATTTCTTGGGTGTACTACTTTAGCATTAAAATTCATTTCAAGGTGTATGGTACTGCATTATAATGCTGCAGTTACTACAAATACACTAAACAGAAATAAATAATCAGGATGTCATTTTCTGTGTATCCTAGGTGTCTGAGGCTGGGTTGAAGCCTTTGTTGCTGGATGAGGTCACTGGACCTGTGGCTCACATCCCACGCAGGTTTGTATTACCTTCGCTTCTCATCAGCTAGGCAGTTTTTTTCTTCGGAGAAGTTTACTTTTGACTGAAATAATGATTAATTTCATGATTCGACCACACAAACTCACTCACACACATGCACAGGTACCCCACTGTTGAGAAAGGTAGCAGAGCTGGCCTCAGGGACTGTGTCTATCCTGAGGGAGCTTGAACTCTTTAGGGAGTCACTGCAACACCACTGTCCCCATGGCAATATGCAAATCCCTATATGATATTTCCCACCATGCAATGCTCCAAAGCCCCTAAAGACGTGTTCTGTTTTGACGTTAGATCTTCCCAGAGAGATAGATTTTTATTTTTACATTCTGACAAAACTAATGAAAGTAGCATTTTAGAATCTTTGTGCTCATACATATTTATCTAGTTCACACTTTTTCATTGCCAGCTAGGCACATGGACTCACTTGACCAGTAAGAAGTTTGATAGGAAAATCAATTGAGAAGCATTTGGATAATTTGGACAATTTAAACAACCATCCAAATAAAAACTCATTCAAATTACACCTTGTCTCGTGCTGTACATATCATTGTTTTGTTCTTTGCCTTTATAAAACAGCTGCTGTAGCATCACACAGCTGTTTGATGCTACAATACAACTCAATCTCTCGATGTCCCGACACTAAGACATTGGCCGTCTGCAAGTTACGCAGGTGGCACAGCAGCAGCAGTAATTTCATTAATTATTTATATCTTCTGACATGCCATTGTGATCTTAGGTATTAACCCAAATGCTTTTCTCCAAGCAAGCAGCTGAGCTGCTGTGCACAAATTCATAGTTACCCTTTGGCAACAGAGCAGTTATGCTTAGAATGAAGTCAGCATTTTTATCCGCAGCAGAAGAGTCAAAATATAGGTTAGTTTCATCTAGAGAATGCCAATATGTTTTCATGGTGTATCAAGTGATTATTGCAGGAAGTGGTCTGATTTTAAAAAGCAATGATGTATGCTGTAGAGTTATTGAAATGTATTGATTATGTCATTGAAATTACAAAAAAAAGTGAATAATCTGCCCAAATTTTAACTAAAGACATTGTCCCCGTTTCTACTGCCTGCAGTAGATCATGTGTTCCTGACCTCACTACACAAGAGCTCCTCCTCCTCTCAAACTCCAGTACAACCCCTGCTGACAAGTAATGCCTTTGTCATCAAAGGTGACATTATAATATTTACTGACCTAAAAGAAAAACAGTTAATTTCCAAACACATGGGTATTATTGCAGTTGATATTTATTTTTCACAAGCTGTCATATAATAGCTAAAAAAACACATCCAAATATGGTCAAAAGTGACAGTCGGTGGTTTGACAGCCTGCAGCGCAGCCAATTAAAGCACCCAGCTAAGCAGGAATCAGTGGTCTGGCACAATGTGGCACAGCCGAGTTTGTGGCTATACGGGGTTTCTATGCCATTCCTGTAAAAGGCACTGAAGGGTGTGATGGATCCTCAGTCAGCGTACTTGCTGTCAGAGATGTGGGGCTTTGCATCACACCTTGAGCGTTTTAAATGGCTGCACATATAATAATAATAAAAAAAATTAAATAAATGAAATGAGTAAATCAGGTCTCCTGAAATGAAATGACAGGCAGGTTGAAACAGCGGGTGAGTGTGTGTGTTTCTTGCCACCAGCGTCAACATTAAACGCATCAGATTGAAGCCACCCTCCAGGGTAGCATCACTCAGCCAGGTGTGTGTGTGTGTTTGTGTATGTATGCGTGTGCGTGGTGAAACCTAAGTCTTTTATCTACTTTTCCGTTTTCTCTGTTTTTTTTTGTTTATCTACAAATTTATTTATATATTTCAGTTGAAATGGTGTACATAACACACACACAGACACCCCCGACACACATACCCACCCACACACACACACACACACACACACACCCATAAACCCCCACACACATTGATCTATCGGTGTATTAATGTGTGAGTGAGTGTCAGTTTTTATCCCAATTATTTTTTAAATTATTTCCCCTTAGTATAATCTCCAGCAGTTTTTTCTTACACAGGAGTTAACTTGAGTGCTGTTTTCCTTTGCCAAAAGCAGTCAAATGCTGAAAGTTAGTTAGGAAAGAGAGAGGAAAAAAGCTCTGACAGAATATCCTGATTCTCATTTGGGAAAGGTAGGAACTTCACTTATGTGAAACTTAGGCGGTATCCCTCAGTGAGACTGTTCTAATTCAAAACTCAAACTTTTCTCTGTTAACAGAGTGATGAGATACATGGGCTTCAAGAGACTAGGGGGGTGGGTTCATCATTGTTATATTATTATTTTCATCTGGCGCTGGTTGTTTTTCTGTTGTCCAGCTGGTTTTCCAAAAAGCTACACACTCTTCACCATTTTCTTCAGCACTGACAGTGTACAGTAGACTCTCTACCTCTGTATCTATCTCTTCTCTTTCGTTCTCTCTCTCTCCCACTTCTCTCTCAGGACGGGAGGAGGATATGTCTCTTTTTCTCCATATTGACTTTCCCAGGTCAGGCTCCTCTTCTCCTATTAGGCCAAGCTAACTGATCAATACGAAGGCCTGGTGGGCTGCTGTACGGACATGCAGACATGCACACACAGCAGGCCGTGCCGCGGCCAAGTGCCACGCTAATTAACAAACAAACACACAAAGCAGAACACGCGCAGCGCTCGTATCTACCCATTTCCAAATATAAGCACACACACTTCTTAACGATACAGCTGATTATTAAAGCCACGGCTAACATTTCTACATGTATGAAAAAGTCGCCGACATTAACAAAAGTCACGAAATGAGCACATTGATTAGTCAGTCGTGTGCGAATATATGAAACTTCATCCAGTTGGTTGCTTTTCTGTCAAATACTGAGATGCAAGAAAACTCCTCCTCTCCTCTAAAAAATCTTCTCTCTTCTCCTCCCCTGCTGTTCTCCCAGCTGATGAGTTGTGACATCTGCAGCGCTGCGACATGGATAAGCAGCTGCCAGAGATGGAGCTAGGGAGGAATGATGGAGAGAAGACAATGCAGGAGATGGGTGAAGAAGGGGGGGGTGGGGAAGGGGTGAGGGATGCTGACAAGCAGCAACAGTTAGATGTACAGTGAGGTGGGGCGGTGGGGGGCATGATTGCATTGCGTGTGCATGTTCCTAAATGTGTATATGTGCATGTCTCTGGGTGTGTATGTGTGTGTGTGTGTGAATGAAGCTGTGTGGGCATATGAGCATATGTGTCTTTGCATGGCAGCGTGCCAGGCAGTGCCATCTGGCTGCTTGACAGAACTCCTCTCATTAACGGGGGAGGTTAATTGCTGTGGCAGCGCCCGGGCTGTGTCAAACACCACCCTGGGGACACGGAGGCAACAGACTATCTACATGTTGGTGTGTGTACATGCACCGACACGTGCGCGGTTGTGTCTCAAGCATAAAACGCGGAGCGGGAAACCCCCAGCCTTTTTTCCCCCACAACATAAAAAGGTTAAAGCGAACCCGCTGTACTATATGTGAACCCCATCGTGTGAAGAGAGTCTCAAGGAGGACTTGTGTCCTTTTTTTGCGTGCCAGGTTACATAGATGTTCAGATTATTCTTATGAATTATGCCTTGTTGCTGTAATGATGTAGAAAGAATTGGGTTTACAGAGCCAATGTCTATAGCCCTGGGGGCAAACACATATGTATACACGCTCACACACCCACATGCACAGCGTGTTGGGGGGGAGTGGTGGCAATTTGCATTTGTTATTACTGCATATTCATGACTAATTTTGTTAGCCTTGCTTAATAGGGCTGAATGACAGGTTGAGAAATTGAGAGCCTGCTTTAATATCACATACAGTCACAGTAATACACACACACACACACACACGCACAATTCAGTCACATTCACTCAACCTGCTCACTCTGTCCACACAGTAATCATAACAACACTTAATGCTTTTAATAGGAATTCTCTGTTCCTCTGGTGGTGTGACATTGTGTCATTTGTTTACCACAAGTACTTATTGTATATTGCAATATAACAAGCCGTGCAGCCTTATTTGTTGCATGCATAATAATGACCTGCAATATTATGCACACACGCACGCAGATACGTACGCACTTGAATGGCATGAATAAATTTGCATGTTGACTTGTTGCAGATCAGGATTTGCTGCATGTTTTCATTTTGATTTTCCCAAAAGAAGCAAAACTGTTGGAAATGAAGGATCCTCCTCTCCTTAATAAATTCAGTTCCATCCATTAATGGTGCAGAAAATAGAGGCTTATGTGTCGTTAAGTAACACAAATTATAGTTATTTTATTATTTTTGTTTTTTTTAATCCTTTGACTCTGCATTAGTTGTGTGTTCATGAGTTCTTGGACAAGATAAGAACAGTGTGGTTTTAAAAAAAATCTTTGTTTTTGCAGCGAGCATATGCTTGCACGCACTCACATCCATTTTCCAAGTGTCTTCCTTCTATAGGAAAATAGGTTTTAAATTAGCTTGTTTTTACACCTAAGTTTTGCACCTGTGACTAAAAGGACCTAAAGAAGTCATCTTATAATAAATGTTAGCATTTCTTTTCCTTTTGGTCTTAAATGACATGTTTTGGGCCAAAAACCATCCTTCTACACATACCTATGTGTTACTTAGGCTTCTATATCACGGGTTGTGTGTTGTAAATTATCACCTTAGCTCGGTGATTATTTACAACAGAGGAAAACTCTACTTACGATTAAATAAAAAGACATCAAGTGGATTAATAACAGCAGAACATACACGTTCCCATTCTCCTATCGAGGCAGAACCAGACTATAATCTAAAGTCAGCTTTCACTGTTTCCTCTGTGGCTTTTACTCCATTTGACTGAAAAGTTTTTTTTTTGTTTTTTTTTTTTTGCCAAAGTGAAAGATTTAACTCTCAGCGCTCTCTATCCACTCACATGTCACTTTTGTCAAATCTTGCCTTTCCTTCTCCACTTGGTGTGAAAGTGTAGACACGCTTGATCAAATGTGAGTTTAAAATTTTTAATCTGTGCAAAGTTTCATCAGAATAGCTCATCTCATGAGGCTGGTAAATATGAAACTGTGTGTGCGTGCGTGTGCCTGCGTGTGTCTTTGTACGTGCCCGTGTGTTTGTGAACAGTACCACACAGTGCCGTATGATCTGGGTTTTTTTTCTCTCTCTTTCCATCTTGGGTGTGTGACAGCTGTCACTGGTGACTCAGAAAGGTGTCTGGGCAGAGTTAACGTATTTTCACCGCTGGGAGACACACAGACTTATACACATGCATGCACACGCGTGCGCACACACACACACACACACACTGACGGAGAGAAACACATATCAGCTCTGGTTGCTGTCATCTAGCACAAATTTCAACAGGCTCAGCATCTCTTTGCTGCTTTTGAATGAGATGTTTTTGAATTTTACACCTTATACATGTGCTGCATGTTGCTTACACATTCCTGTTTTATCCTGCATCAGTTGTTAAAACAATTTGATTAAGGATCAAAGCTTATACATTGTGATGGAAACAATTATATACACTGCAATATGCTGTGGCTTTCATCTCTGTAATTCACATCACTTAATAATGCACTCTGTACTCACTATAAACCTGAAAAGAGATATTTTCCTTCTATGTTTTACATCTATCTGCTTGTTCAGTAGTTCACGATTTCCTTCCTCTTCCTTATGCTTTTCCGCTATAGCAGTGATTCCGTGGACCAGATGACGTCTGAGACGGAAGATGTGAAAATCCAGCTGCAAACCAAGGACATGATCATCTCGGATCTGGAGAGGGAGCTCACAGAGAATATACAAGGAAAGCAAAAGGTAACCGACTTGACTTGACTTGATTTTAGCACATTCCAAAGAATGAGCTACCGGGATCACGCCACAAAAATGCAAACAAGACATTCTGTCGTTTGCACGTAATTGTCTGGACTCAAGATAGTTCCCCAAAAAAAGCAAGACAATGTAAACAAATCTCTTTTTTTTCTCATAGCAATTGTAAGGTTGAAACAATTAAATGATTTGCTAAGAAATTGTTTCTTTTTTTTGCAGCATTTGTTGAGAAGGCTGTTTAAAAGGTGGAGGAGTCTTTTTTTAATTTTTTTTTACGATATTGGTTTGGCAGCTGTGCTACAAGCTCTCCATGTGCAGTCAGGTTTAACAGGAAGCCATGGCGTGTGTGATGAATTACCAGCATATCTCAGAGCCCTGGGTAACAAACATGGCATCGCCGTTCGGGATTAAAAGGGAGAGATTTTTACAACCTTCCCACACCTCCTTACAGGGTGTCACTAAATTATACCCACTGCTGTTTTACTGTCTTCTGTGGCTTATGGTTAAGGCACACGTAAACACACACAGGCTTGCAGAAATACACACATGCATTTGTGCTTGTGGTAAACCCAGGCTTGTTGGTTGTTTATGTGTGTGTTGGCTGGTTACTGTTTGTTTATGCTGCTTGTGAGTTGACTCATTTGCACTGCCGCTAATTAGTGGTTTGTGTGATTACAGACAGATCCGTAGAGAAACAAGTAGAGTAACTGGAGCTTGTTCTGTTAATCACATTTTCAACAAATGGCTATATATTTTCTATTCCACTTGTGTTTCTGTTTAGCTGGTGCTTCTGCAATGCAGATGCGCAAACAGATCTACAGGACACACAAACACACATGGAGCCTTGGTACATGTGAGCGCCATAACTTAAAAAAATACTGTTTGTTAGCACGACGACACTATCAAATGAACAGCTTTCTAGAACACGTGGCCAAATTAAACTATAAATGATATATATTTACAGTATACGTTGTATTTTAATCTGCAATATGTGAACTTCTAACTATGAATTTGTCTTACACAACCCAGGCAATTATCGCTCAGGCTCTTACAGTTGTAATTACATGGACTTCTATTTTAAAATGAGACATTAAGAATTGATATAAAAATGTAATTTTATTCATTCCAATTCATTTCAGATTATTGCGAGACATTTATGAAAAAGTAATCAAAAGCAATTTGGAAAAATTGTATGAGGAGTATTAGCCAGTGAATAATTCTCAATGAAAATAAACCTTTGTCTCTTTTGGGGGGGGGGGAAATCAAATTTTAATTCCTTTCTGGCGAAGACTGCGACGCAGGTGCTGGAAAGCGGTGAGAGGCTGGTGCACCTGCAGAGCGAGCTGTCTTGTCTGCGGCGGATCCACGAAGACAACATGAAGGAGATTGCTGAGAAAGACATCTGCATCACCAAACTGCAAGCTAACATTCAGCTCCTGCAACAGGAGGGGGCTGACACGCTTGCTCAGGTGTGCAAAGGCTTACACGTGTACTATTCGGGACTGCTGTTTGCACACATACACATGCATGTGCCACGCATATTGCACATGCAACAGCTATTAACGTGTGGTGTGATAAAACATACATTCGCTCACTTAGTGCCAGTCAATTTAGCCATCTTTTTTGCATGACCCACTTTTTCTTTTACTGCCTTGCAGGATGTTGTGTTGCGATGGGTCTCTTGATGTTTCAGATTAGTTTTTTTAGATTATGTGACTGGTACCTCATTTGTTCCACAGATTGCAGAGATGTGACTGCCTGCACATTTCTTTTTTTCTTTTCTTCTCCTGTCTGACTTCAGCTCTCCAAGCTGAATGTAAGAACAAATGAGCTGCAGGAGGAGTTAAAGAAGAAAAGAGGTGCTATGGAGGTAGAGGGAGGATGAGGAGAAAATAAAAGATAAAAAAGGAGCGTTAAGAAAAACAGATGAGAGGAGAAGGCAGGAGCAACTGAAGACAGAGGAGTGGATAAAGAGTGGAAGAGGGGGTTTGAGGAAGATGGAAAAGACTATATCCGGGCTGTTTAAAAGTGCGCTAAGAAGGCAGCTGTTTTGAATTCTGAGGTGAGTGTATTAATGCACTCTGTAACTTAACAAGAACTACTCATCAGCGGGTAAAACTGCAAACTGGGTTGCCAATAAGAAGTTACACACCTTCATCAAGTTTCAGGATGATTAGATTCTTTTGATCATTGATATGATTTACATGAAGTTTCTCTCTTTACAATTTTATACACGTTTATATCAAAATCCTAACTTAGTGTTTCAATGTTAAGACTTTTTTTTGGATGATGGACATCCCTTTATTGAGCAGACTTAATATGTTTACCAAAAACAGTACAGCAGATAGCATATTTACGCGTATGCACATACACACACTTACCCAGTCCTAGAAAAAAACCCCAACAAAACACTTCACCTTAATTCAGACCTCAGACACTCTCTCCTCTCCCCCCCCTCCTTCCATCCTGCCATCTCGCCACAACCGCTCCAAATTAATCTGCAAAATATTGATTTGAGGACCAAGGGGGTGGGGGGGTGGAGGCGCACGATTGCGGCCGCATATTAATACGAACAAGCCGCTCTTCGTCTCTCCTCTATACTTTAAGATCCTCATATCTTCATAATTGATTAATGTTCCTTTGTGAAGTGGGGATGAATAATACATTAGTGGGCCTGCTGCACCCTCAGGCTGATGAGAAAATGTTTAATTTCAGTAAATGTAGCGCTCCTTCTCTCTTTCTCTCTGTTTCATTTCCCTCTCTCTGGTTATTTGTGAGTGCTGGATTGTGTTTGTGAGTTTTCACTTGCTGACGACCGGAGGAGTGCTGTTGATTTGCTTCTTCTGTGTTTACTGTCGGCTTTAAGCGCATGTTGAGCATCACAAACAAAAGACAGCATCTGCATTTGCAAACACGAATGAATAAATTGGTGGTATGAGCTCAGCATTGTTCTATTAACTGATATAACTTCAAGAGCTGTGTCACTTTTACAGGGCTGCTTGCCTTGAGAGAGAAATCATCCCCCTCTGACTTTTTTTTTAATGTGTGTGTGTGTGTGTGTGCACATTGCATCAAAATGTGCTGGAAAGACCATTTGTTATCAGTTAGCAATCACTAAGGGTATGGAAATGTGCCATAAACCCACCTGATGAGGAACAAGTAGCCCCCTCCGCAACCTGGAAAAGTGCGAGGAGCTTGACATTTGTCAGCTGCCCCGACTGGCACAGCCTGGCTCCACTCAAGCTCATCTGGTTAACAGTGCTAATTATGCTAATCAGAAACCTAATGATGATGATGAGGGGGTTTAAGAGCCACAGCATAGCAAGCTTGGAGTGTTTGTGTGTGTTGGTGGGGGTGGTAGTGAGGGGTGGGGGGGCTGGTGGGGCTGAAGTGCCTGGCACCTGATGGTGAGCATCTGTGTGTCGAACAGATAAATGATGAAATCAACACGCGCACAGGCGCCCACAGGTCTCCCTTCATGCCTACTTAGCTTTGCCTCGTTTTCATTTGAACTTATACCAGCGATGAAGGGGATCCATACACACAGAGCGCTAATTGAATAAATAGCACTCCTCCGTTAACAAGGATCCTAATTAGTTATGCTAATCAGACTAGATAACCCAATTAACCCCACAGCGAGGCAGGGTGGGCTCCTCTCTGTGTGTGTTTATGTGTGGGTGTGGATTTATGTGCCTGAGAGCATATCAGAGACACTTAAGAAAACACGTTTGCCTAATTACTTTTCAGAGACGAGCGTTTATGCTTTTTTCATGTCCTTATTGTTCTGCAGTTAAATGCAGGATATTAAGCTTTCCAAACTAAAGAAAAGAAGGATTGAACAGTGTTTGTTTTTGGGCTTTCATATATGGGGGATATCTGCATTTATATGTATTTCTCTTTGCCTTCTGCCAGCCTGTCTCTCAGTTAGATCTACATTGACATGTATATTTTTACAACTATTATGGTTGTTTAAACAGAGTGTGTATTTGTTCAGAGAATGTCTGGCTGTTCCATTAGTTTATGTCCTTGGAAATACAATTTGGCCTCAAGTTCTCTCCGTTTATTTAAAACCTTCAGTCAGCGTTCCCCTCCTAATAGTGAGCCGTGTTTCCTCTCGTTTAGCTCCACCACTCATTATCCGGGCCATGTGGAAGAGACAATGTTTAGAGAGAAGAGAGGGGGACCTGGAGAAGGACAGCAAGAAATGGAGGGAGAGGGAGAAAAGGGCTAAAAATAAGAGCGAACCGGAGAGAAAAAGACAGAGGGAATTAATGAGTGACTGAAAGAGAGAGAATGTAGATTGTCTCTGAACCTGGCCGCAGCTGCTTGTGCTTCTAATGAATGGATGGGGGTGGGGGTGGGGGGGACCCGGACAAGACTGTCTTTGTTGTGCCTGTGCCATAGAGAGAGTGAGAGCACAACAGATTTATGTCTTACAGGAAGTCTCCTAGATTTGTGGTGTCACAAACCGCCTACCCCAAGTCAACTTCATGCTCTGGCTTTTAATTAATAGGCAGCATTCATGTATATGTATCTGTTTGCCTCTGTGGCATGTGCCTGTTTTTGAACATTTAGCCATGTAGTTGATCATGTGTGGTTTGGAAATGACTATTAGTTTTGACAGAACAGTACTCATCCTGTCTTCCAGTTTGGCCTCTGCATCTGACATTGGGAGACGTTTAATTAGAACAACAGCTTCCGAATAATTTTGCATTAGATTTATACTTTGTTTAGGGCCCTTAGAAGAGTGGCAACAATGACATTTTCACATATACAGGCCTGTCTTTTGGATTAGCCTTGCTTTTAGTTTTAAGAACAGTTTCAGGGCTACCCTCACATTTGACTTAAGCTGCTTTAGAGAACAAATACTGTAAGGTCTTAAATGCGGCACCCAACCTTAGCATTAGGTCGTGGCACCTTTGCTAATGTGCTAATGGAATTCACTGCGGTGCGCTTAACTGCTGGTCTTAATGTCCAAAACGTGCACTTTTGTAATGGGAAGCCCAAACAGTAGAAGCTACTCCGTGCATTGCAGGTCTAGAACGGGGGGCGAGATGCTAATATTAGCTCGGGCTCACATCAGCTGAGTCATCTCCTCTGTGTCCTTGGCTTATTAACTGATTTAAGACTGATTAGATCAGTCATGCACAGACGTGCACAGGCACACATGCGCACCAAATTTGAATATCAAAATGGAATTGCTTGACCAGTGAAAACTAGATTAATTCAAAATGTTTGCATCAAGGTGTAGGTAAAACGGATGACTGTGCATATTTTTAATGCACCTTGCAGCATTTAGAGCCATTTATGACATTAACTAAAGCTCATGTTATGCAAACACATTTTGCAAGTCAAAGCCACTTATGTTGAGAATGCATGATGCTCCTTTTTTCCCTCCTTCGCCTTGATTTGACGTCATGAGATCATCAGCATAAGTATTGATTTTGCACTCCATTAAATGGAGTTTGAGTTTGCTACAACGTGTCTCGTCTTTTCACAATACCATGCCTAAGTAACAAGAGAGTGTTGCTGAACTGTTTTACGGCATTGTTATATCTGGGCCTTTTTTTAATCACTAGCTGCAGAGATACTTCAAATAGCTTGATAATAAGAAAAAAAAAAAGATAATTAATTTCTGCGCGGACACATTGTGGACCCTATACACCAGAGCAGCATTAGCTTAAATCCCTATTTATCACCTGTAATTGTTCCTTGATCTCACTTCATCAAGGTTATGTAAACAGATTAGATGTTGCTTCGCTCCCAAGAAATTACCACAAATAGCTTTACTTCTCTCCAGTCTCCAGAAAGCATCAAGAACTTGCACTGTTTCTGCCTGGTCAAATCTCCTGACAACCTAACAGCATGGGTGGCGGTGCACATTTGGCACAGAAATCTCCCTCGTTCTCAGTCTTAATTTGAACAAAATAATTTCTGTTGTTGTGGTTGATGTGAGAAACTACTGAAGTTTTCCACCTACTTGATCAGCCCTGAACACGATGTTACAGTTACACAGCTGTCCTGGTAAATAAGAGAAAGTTGTCTGTTAGAGTTGGTTGAGTCAGCCAGTGTTAAATGTGTATGCCTGTGTGTGCTCTCGCACAGGACTGATTGTTTCTACTTCTCTCTGTATATGTGGCAGTTTCCTCTCGAGATGTTAATTCCTCTCCTCCCTGTTGTTGTCATGCTTCCACCAGCAGTGTCTGCACCGGGGAGACGAAGACATATTGGTGTTAATGAAAAGCCCTCCTAAACTATCCTCCCCGCATGAATGTTTAAACATGCTTGTCATAACATTCATTCGCTCACACATGACAGCTAGCATCTGCAGCTGCCTTGCTCGCCCTCAATATTTTATCATACCATCTCCCCTAACCCTACACTAGCACAATGCCTGTGTGTTAGCAAACTGAATTATAATGACTGAAAACAGGCTGTGTTCAGACCCACTGCCAGCACAGGCCATGCATAATGGATTCAGTAACACCAAAAGTCTCATAATGGTACAATTAGTCAATCTTAAATATGAAAGTAATAAAGAAAGGCAAAACAAGAAGCCTTTTTGTTTTTTTTCAAGTAGCAAAAAAAGAAAAAGAAAAGGAGAAATGTACACAAAGATAATGAGAGAGAAAAAATGAAAAGTAAGGACAAAATGTGTAAAGAAGGAAAGAAAGAGAGAAATCCTTGTGTCCATTTACAGTATGCTATTCCAAAGTCCCATAACGCTGCAGGTCAGCAGTTGTGACCTTGGTGGTTTTGACAGAAATGATTCACCATGGTAACGGTTGGTCTGCAACCCTCACTACACCCCCCCACCCCTTATCATTCCCCAACCTTCCTTACCTCCTCTTTTCCAATTTGATTGGATGCACAATTGAAATGTCATGCCTCAGCAAAACGCATCCACACGCACCCGATCAACCACAGTGAAAAAGTGGGGGGGATAAAAGAACTGGACATGTTATACACTTCAAATTATAAATTAAGAGACAGGTCCAGTGCACGCTGGAAGAAAAGAGGGGTTTTGGTCGAGCATCGAATCGCTTGCATTTCAGGTAGCAAGGATAAATATGCATATATGGCTGAAATCATAATCAGAGCTATAGGGTTAATGTTGTGTGATGTACCAGGGGACATAGGCACAGTGCATCAAAGCAGTGAAGGGAGCCATAGTCACTAAATGCAAAGTCAAATGAATATTAATGCAGAACCAATTACCTCAGAGAAATGTTGTCTGTAGGTTAACTTTGCTAACACGTGTGTCTCACCTTTACCGCAGTAGAAGCATTGGGGGATGGGTTGTTGAGGGGCAGCGCTGATGTGTTAGTTTTCTTCCTAACAAGCTTCTCTGTCCCTGCTAAAATAGAATTGTTAAGCAAACAGCTACTCCTCTCCACTTATCTTATTTCAATACGATGCAAGATCCAATTTTTAAAGAGAGGGAAAGTGCAAAGTGAGGGTTACAATTAGGGTGTTACTTGACTGTGGCATTTCTTTAAAATACTTCATAAGCAGCAAAACAAAAAAAAAGTATTTTGCATGTCATACAGCAATGCTAAGTCTCCTCTTTCTCTTTATTTCAGTCTTTAGAGGTGAGCCACATACTTTCTTGTTGTATGAGCAGCTTAGCACAGAGCAGCACTGATCTATGCAGGTGCTGATCTGCACAAGTGACTGTGCCACACTTAAAGCCCCTTCTAAATCAGTGTTAAAGCCTTGATAATAGACCTCACTGACCAATTGATTGGCCTTCATATGTTTACAGCTCACTTTAATTGCCTCAAAAATACCATTTATCAGCCAAGTGTGTCCGCATATGCATGTATGTGTGAGTGCAAGCATGCCCGTCCATTGACAAAAAGGCTTATTGATTTATCAGCATCAGGATTTGTCCCGTTCACCATACATAAAACCCCTGCGTATGTGCTGTTCAAAATGGGAAATGGCCCCATTGATTCCCTTAAGTTGGAGCCCAAATGCTAAAGATTTTTGGATAAGCTTTCTCATTACTTAAGCTGAAATCAATAGGGGAGAGCATGGGTCTAATGAATGAACGGGCCACAGATCAGATGGGGTGTGCTCATCCCTGGCCTGTCCGGGTCGATCCGAGTATGTGTGTGTGAGTGCGTGTGTGGGAGAAAGAGAGAGAAAGAGACATCCGCATGCACTCACACAAAAACGAGCGGACTATTTGGACATCACAAATCTTTTTGTCTGCCTCAGAAAATTCACATTTTAGATCCATTTGTGTCTTTAGGTCTTTCTGCTCACTTGACCCACTTCTGTGCCTTTAGCTTCCACTGCTTCTCGATCCACATTAATGTGCCAAAAATATGTTCTTTTCAGAACCGGAACCATGTGTTAAAATCATGCAAGACACCAAACCCTTATCCATGTATGGTATGGAAATAGTTTAAGCCTCAAAAGTCTGCGTATGGAATTTCAAATATTTGTTATTAATTATTATTTGAATCGTTCTACTTTCCCTTTGCACACTTTCTTTCCCTCTGTAGTTGGAGGCCAGCAGGAAGCAGGTGGAACGTCAGAGGAGGGAGTTATCAGAGCTTCACCAGAAGGAGGAGACACTTTTGTGTGAGGTACAAAGATAAATCATAAACAGACACACACATGCATGCACGTGCACACAACACATACACACACACACACACACAGAGGAACTAACTCGGGATTTAAGATTTAAATACTCAGCATCTACAAATAAAATCTAGATTAGTCATAAATCTTCATGGGAATGTACAGTAATATCGAGTGCATGTGGATGTGTGTCAGCCAGCCAGCTGGTGGAACCAAGAATGTAGCTCACACACGCATACGCGGAAACTACTACCCCTCTTAGTCGCAGCCCCTTTGGCTAACCATTTGGTTTTTCCACTTTCCACTCTTTCCACCCCTTTGAAATATCAAAACAGCACAGAGTGGTGTATCTCTTGAAAATTGTTTTTGGCTGAGTGTGCAGACGCTTCCTCTCAGAGTACATTTACCAGACAACTTCTAACAGTTTCACTTTGTGACTTGGCCAATTTATGGAATTAACTCGATAAGCCGATATTACAAACAGTTGTCACTGCGATTAGTTAAACCAAGGAGTTGCTCGCTAAAAATTAGAAACCTGTAGACACCTAACGCTGATGAAAAATTTATTAAATCATTAATTAAATAGATTTAATTAGTAATATTGCAGTTATTAAATATCACATACACATGAAGCAGGAAACTTAGGAGCTATTTGGTGGATTTATAAACTGTGGCTTTAAGTAGGATGAGCAGTCAATAAATTGTGCATATGAGCACTATCAACAAAGAACTCTGGATTATCACCACTAACCCAGCCCACTTTTCAAACAGTCAACTCCCTATCCCTTCCCCTACTCTCCACCAAGGTGTCCCGCCTTTTCAACTCATAAATATGGAAGGCAAAAGATGATGAGATTCAGGGACAAGAAAGGAATCAAAATCTATTGTAGCGTGTCCTTTTCCCCGTGTAAAGTTTGGATTAAATGTCACACATTAGCATGTGAACTTTTAAATGAGCTTGTTTGCTCTCCACGGTGTGGGGCATGTAAATACCCATCTTGAGAATGGAATGGGGATTTCGTAGTGGAGGCGGTGGTGCTGGTGGAGGTTCTCAAGAGTTGCAGAGTGTAGGACACATTTGAGGGTTGCAATGGGCAATTAGACCCCACCAAGGGACGGGTGTACCAAACAGGTCTATTGACTGCAACCTGAAGTGACAGACATTAGCAGATGGGAAATCTCACTAAGGGATGTGGCTTCTAGTGATTTATGTGAGACAGATGATTGACATGAGAAAACTGACACACACTGTCATGTTTATTTCTGGGCAAAATCCGGTCAGAGTGAAAAGAAATATGTAAATGTTTAGAAAACCACTGTAAGTTTGTTTGATCAAAAAAATTAACTGTTGAAATTTTTATGTACCTTTTATGTTTGCATTTTCATTCTATAACATGTTTAATACGCACTGCTCAAAAAATTAAAGGAACACTTTGAAAACACATCAGATCTCAATGGGAAAGATCATGCTGGTTATCTATACTGATATGGACTGGGTAATGTGTTATGAATGAAAGAATCAATTGTTTGATGGAAATAAAAATGATCAACATACAGAGGGCTGAATTCAAAAACATCTGGAAAATCAAAGTGAAAAAATGATGCAGTGAGTGAGTCGATTTTGTTGAAATTTCTTGTGAGCAACTCAAAATGGTACTCAGTAATTGGTGCTTGTATTCATGTCTGACAAAACTGGACCATGCTCCTATTGAAAGGACGGATGCTGTCCTGAGGGATCTTCTCCCAGATCTGGACCAGGGCATCACTGAGCTCCTTGACAGTCGGAGGTACAACCTGACAGCGTTGGATGGACCAAAACATAATATCCCAGAGGTGCTGCATTTAGCTCAGGTGAGGGTATCAGTTCCTTCATCCTCCAGGAACTGCCTGCATATTCTTGCCACATAATGCTGGGCATCGTGAACTAGGAGGAACCCAGAACCCACTGCACCAGCATGTCTGACAGTGAGTCTAAGGATTTCATCCCGATACCCAATGGCAGACAGTGTGCTGTTGTCTAACCTGTAGATATCTGTGCGTTCATCCATTCCTCACCACCAAACCGCTCATACTGAACGATGAACAGGCAGCATAACGTTCTCTACGACTTCTCCAGAGCCTTTCACGTCTATCACATGTATTCAGTGCTTCGATCTGTGAAAATTAGAGGGTGCCAGTGGTGGACTTGCCAATTCTGGTATTCTATGGCAAATGCCAATCATGTTCCACGGTGCCAGGCAGTGAGCACAGGACCTACTAAAGGACATTGGACCCCCAGGCCACCCTCATGAGGTCTGTTTCTGATTGTTTGGTCAGAGACATTTACACCAGTGGGCTGCTGGAGGTTCTTTGTTGCTCCGTCAGTGCTCATCCTGTTCCTCATTGTACAAAAGGAGCAGATACCGGTCCTGCTGATGGGCTAAGCACCTTCTAAAGCTTTACAGCGCTCCTAAAGTAACTGCCTGTGTCCTGGAATCTCCTACATGCGTTTTGGAAGACACAACAAGCCTTGTGGCTATGACACATATTGACGTGCCATCCTGGAGGAATTGGACTACCTGTGCAAGCTCTGTAGGGTCCAGGCACCAACTCATGTTACCAGTAGTGACACTGACGTTAGCCAAAAGTAGTGAAAAAACAGTCAGAAAAGATGCAGGGAAAAAATGTCAATGACTTGGACCTTTAAAAACTATTTGTGGTTTAAGGGTTGTCTCATTGTTGCCCCTCTAACTGCACATGTTGTTAATTGTATTTACACCAAACTGGTTAACAACCCCCTCTGCTACTTAACTGACCAGATCAATATCCCAGAAGTTTTACTGACTCTGATAAAAAAGTGTTCCTTTCATGTTTTCTGAGCAGTGTATAAGTTCGAGTTGAAGCTATGGAAATAGCAAACATATGGTAAAGACCATAAAAAACAAGCATGTGTCGCTAACACTCACAGAACCTCAGGGTTGAGAGCTCACCAAGTACTATTGTCAGAATATGTGTGTGTGTGTTGACGCATGACCGTATTGTGTATCATATTTGATAACCAAACACCATAATATATGTGCACATATTTCACTGACTATGATTCCCTTTGTTTTAAAATGTGAGTCTGCTTATTTATTGACATAATTTCCTCTCACTGAAGGGCTTGTGTCTATAAAACACATTAAAATCATATTGCAATCTTTGGTTACCCAGGAGTAGCGTCATAGTTCTATTATACTCACTGAACAACAGCATCACAGCCTGTTTATCAATCCAATATCTCATAATGTGCTCTCTGCCTGGTCATTTTGAATATAAAAAGATCTCATACTCCCATTGTACCATATTTCCTATATTTAGTATTAATCTCTTGTACTGACATGAATCTGACACATCCAATATGGCATTTGATTAGTTGTTTTTGTTTTTTGTTTGTTTTATTTATTTTTTTCTGAGTCTCCAGGTGATATTAGATACACGTGCCGAGCTAGTATTATGTTGGTTGTTTCATCTGAGTATAAAAATGATTTAGTGTGTACTCAGCAGGCAGTGTCATTGACTAGCTTTAATTTCACTGCAAGGGTGGGCTTTATTACTCTGCTACTCTCTAAATATGTGTATGTGAGTGCATGTGAGAGAAAGTGTGTGTGTGTGTGTGCACGCGTGTGTGTGTGTGTGGAGTGCCCCCCCCACACACACAGAAAAAAATAGAAAGTGCAAATGAATGTTTCTGTGGACATTCGTTCTGTCTCTTTTCATGCTTATTATCTTTGCAGCATGCAACGTCTGTGCACACATGTGCTGAGACTCTCTTTCGCTTTTTGATGAGCAGAGCTTTCCTAAACCTAACCAAGTAGTTTTCAATACCCAAAGCTAGCAAAGGTAAGACAATAAACTGCAAGTAAATATGAAACCTGCACCCAGAGAAAACTCAATTTTCAGTCTCAGTGGTCAAAAATCAGGTGTGTCTGAAATGTGTCTGGATCTTGTTACTCTTGGAGTGGACTCCGAGTTGAAACACCCCCAAAGCCACGTGGAAAAGTTTTCACAGTACTCTATGAAGTCCTGGGAAGAGTCACCGTTATCAGATGTATCTTGAATGAATGTTTTTTTGTGTTACTTAATTAGTCTCTCACATCATTGTGTATGAATTTTGGCCCATTCATCTTTACAATGTTGCTTCAGTGCATTTGCAGTGATTTGTTTATGCACAGCTCAGTTTTGGTCCTGCCACAGCATTTTAGTCAGGTTGACGACTTTGACTGGGCCTTTTTTCTGCCAATTTGTGCAGATTTGCTGCTGTCACTGTTCTGTTGCATGACTCAATTTCACCCGGGTTTAGCTATTAAACAAAAGGCTTAACATTTGCCTATAGAATACATTGCAATACAGAGGAGTTCATAGTTACCACCTGCAAGGTGCCCAGATCATGTGGTTCCAAAACAAGCCAAAAGCCTGTGGTCACCCCTATTAGGTGTTTGGCCTGATAGGCTGATTGCTTTTGGCCAAACATGGCACTGTGTACAACTCCACTTGGATCTCATCTGTCCAAAACACATTGTTCCAGAAGTCTGGTGATTTGTTGAGATGTAACTTTGCAAACCTACTGCCATGTTTTGCCATGGAAGGACTGCCAGGAGAAGAGGCTTTCTCCTGGCAGTCCTTCTAAACAAGCCATACTTGTTCAGTCTTTTTATTGTACTGAAATGAACATTATCATTTCACATGTTAAATGGGGCCTGTAGAGAAGTAGCTTTTGGGTTTTTTGCTGTTTTCCAGAGTGTTGCATGGTTTGACATTGGGGTGATTTTGCTGGGAGGTCCACTGCTGGGAGGATTATAGCTTTGTGTTAACATGCATCTGAGTGCTCCAGACCAGCAAACTTCCCAAATATATGTTTTTATTAAAGCAACTGATGATCAGTTAATCAAGTGGTAAATGGTAAATGAACCACATCTTATGTAGTGCTTTTTTACTTTACTGGAGTACTAAAAGCACTGATGCACCTGGCTACTATTTACCC